ACGTATGTATGTAATTGTGTATGCATGTGAACATGTAAAGGTGTGTGCTTGTATGTATGTATGTATGTATGTATGTATGTATGTATGTATGTATGTATGTATGTATGCACTGATGCATGTATGTAAGCATGCATGTATGCATGTGTGTATGTATGCATGCATTCATGAATGTCTGGATGTCGGTCTGCCTGTCTGTCTGTCTGTCTGTTTGTCTGCATGCATGCATGCATGTGTGTATGTATGGATGCATGCATGCATGCATGTAGGTAGGTAGCTAGGTATGTAGGTAGGTATGTAGGTATATATGTATGTATGTAGAGCGAGAGAGAGAAAGAGAGAGAGAGAGAGAAAGGGAGAACGAGCGATAAAGAGAGAGAGAGAGAGAGAGAGAGATCCCCGCCCTGGGCCCCCATGCCATACCTCCCTGGGACCTCCCCAGGCGACCCCTGGAGGTCCAAGAGAGCCCGAGAGTCTTCAAAGACCGCCCAGGATAGCCTCCGACTGGCTCTCGAAGCCTTCAAAAGCGCCCCACGCGAGCCCCAAGACAGTCCCAGATGACTCGGGCTTGTGCGCAGGATCTTGCAGGATCCCCTGCAACGCTTGATTGACCAGGGTTTGCATTGTCGCGTGTCAGTAGAAGCCCGACTGATTATGCCACCCCTTCCTCCAGACCCCCGACGTGGTGATTCGCAACGTGGAACCCCAGAGGTCTCGACCCCTTCCCCAGGTCAAGTTTTTCATTAAGAGTTATTATTTGACGGTGTCGGGGCCTGGTGAACACCCCAAGAGGCTGTGTCTTTGCCCGCCTCCGCTTCCTACTGTTTCCCACCCGTGCAGTCTGTCCATAGCCATTTTGGCTCAGGGAGGCACAACGCCACCATCACCCTCAGGTCATTTGTTGCCTGTTGCACAGGCCTCGCGCGTGCATCTCCGGGCCCGGGTTTTCCGCCGGTGATTGTCTGCAGAAGGCATCGATACACCACCGTGCTTGGCCAGAGCCATCTTGGGCACCAGCGTCGCTCCGGGAGGCGCATGCACAATGCCAGGGCCCAGGACGGCCCTCGCCAGGCAAAAAGACGGTGTAGCGTGTAGCCATGCTTTCCGCATAGTAGTATTGAAGTAGCGCGATGTTCACAAAAAAGAAGGATGAGGATCGCAAGCCGATCGAGCAGGAGATCGCGGAGTTGCAGCGGAGGTTCCGGGTCTTGGAGAACGACAAGAGGGCGTGCAGCGAGGATACACAGGGCACCATACGCAAGCAGCGCGCCACCATCGAGAAGCTCACGCGCGAGAACAGGAAGATGAAGTCGGAGCTCAACGAGACGAGGACGAATCCGGGCTCCCTGGCCGAGACCAGGATGGCCCAGGAGACCTTGACGAAGCTGGCCGAGCAGAAGCAGTCCCTCCAGGAGAAGCTCGAGATCGAGAACGACCAGGCCAGCAGCCTCCAGGAAAAGATCTCGACCATGGAAGTCGACGTGTTCTCGAAGCGTCAGGAGATGGCGACACACGGAGGCGTCAACGCCTCTTCGGACAACGTGAAGGCGGTTGCCAAGCAGATACGCGTGCTGGAGAACCGCCTCGACAAGGGGCTGCAGAAGTTCAACGAGTCGATCGCCGCCAACAGGTCGCTGCGCGAGCAGATTGACACTCTGCGGCGAGAGCGTGTCGTCTTTGACGACATTTACCGTAAGCTCGAGAACGAGTTGCAGTCAAAGAAGAAGGAGATGGCCAACATCATTGAGCAGGCCAACGCCGCCTACGAGGCGCGTGACTCGGCGCAGGCGCAGATGGCCTCACTGAAGCAGCAGGCGGACAAGGAGCACGCGGAGTTCGAGAGGGAGTGGCGGGAGCTCGGCAAGCTCATCGAGAACGACAAGAAGATGAAGGAGTTCATGCGGACCAAGGTCAAACAGACGGTGGATAGCAGCAAGGTGGGGGAGATGTCTTTGGCACAGGAGGACAGGCATCGCAAGAAGATCACCAGGAACGCCTGGGATACCGCGAAGCATTTGGTTACCATGACCACCAACCAGGAGAAGGCAGATACCTACGAGAAGGCCTTCGAGCGAATCCAGAAGGCAACCGGTATCTGCGACATCGACGAGCTCGTCCAGAATTTTATCCACGCGGAGGACCAGAATTTTTCTCTTTTCAAGTACAACAACGAGCTCAGCGCTGACATCGAGAAGCTCGAGGGTCAGATCACCGAGTACAGGGAAGAGTACGTTGCCCTGAGTGGCAACGGCAGCCGCAAAGAAGACACAGAGAAGGTCAAGATCCTGGAGACCCTCGAGGAGAAGTGGAACGACATCGATCGCAAGGCCATCCACTACGAGGTGAAGTACCAGGAGTCGCAGCAGACCCTCACGCACGTGCGCGAGGGCATCAAGAGCATCTTCAAGCGCATGAACTGCACGCAGGAGGACCTCCCGAGCGGCTGTGGGACCGGCATCTCCGAGTCCAACATGATGTTGTACCTCGCCGCCATCGAGAACGAGGTCTCGAAACTCCTGAGGATCTACGACGCCATCCGCGTGGACGAGGACGACACCGAGACCGCCAGGCCCGTCCGCCCCGCCGGGGCGTCCACGAACTTCCAGATCAAGCTGCCCAGCACGGTCGAGGACTACTCCGAGGACGAGGACGACGACGACGAGGACGACCAGCGGCCCTTCACGCGCGACGAGCTGAAGACCAAGACCATGCGCGGGATCAGCAAGAAGCAGAAGAAGTCGCGCAACATGAAGGGCGGCGCGGGGGAGAAGTGACTCCCACGAACGACGAGCGTATCCACATTCATGCCCTGGCGGTCTGGACACGAAGGCGCGATCCCATGGATATGCGGCCCCATGGATACGTCGCGCGCGGGGAATCCGCACAAAGCCACCCTGCATGCACGAGGTCGCGCAAGAGGAGTCCTGACCGCGAGGCTGTGGGTGTGGACTTGGATCCTGCACTTGAGACGCGGGTCGGTCTGGCCGAACGCTGCATTTGCGTTGTGGCCCCTGGTTGCCTTCCCGCCGGCGGTCGCGCCTCTGCCTTGCTTCCTGTTGCGCAGAAGGCACCTGTACACCACCATGCCCGGCCAGGAACTGGCCCTGGCCAGCCAGGGCTCAGGGTATGGCCCTGACCAGGCATGGTGGCCGTGCATTCAGGGGCAACATTTGGGGGGGAATGGGCTCATGGGGGGGGCCGATGGCCCGCTCCCGCCCAAGAGAGTGCGGATTCGCAATGGGGGGCTTGTCGCCGATCTGTCGGTGATGCATCGCCGACACCAGCTCGATGGTTAAAACCCCCTGAGCCAGCCTCCCCTACATGTTCCCCTTCATGTACAGGCGCATTCTGCATAATCTGTTGGTTGATCCCTCAGGGACTGCCACTTCCCCAGATACGGCAGGTTCGCGTCGTGTCGACCGGCGGCGACCCCAGCGCGTGCGTTTCAGGTCGAACGCCGTCTGTGGCCCAGAATCGGCCCATCCTTGAATGATCCGGCCTTTTTGAAAGGGCCGATCGTTCCAGTTTGAACGATCCCCGCGGTGTCAGGAACCAACGCCGGGATCGACGCGACGCGAACCTGCCGTACTTTTGCACAGCGCACTCCAGCCGTGCCTCGTCTGCCGCCTCAGTGCGGGTCTCACCGTCTCACCGTTGCTTTCTCTTCCTGTTCCTCATGCCTTTGCAGTGCACGGCGTGTTTTACATGCGTTTGCAGTGCTCTCAGGATAGCTTCACGGAGCTGGTCCTGTCTGCTCCCGTTCCCTCTCCAAGATTGCGCTGGGAAAGATAAAGCATTTCACCGTAACTTGATTATTGAGACGGGCTTTCGCATTCCATCAGAGGCTTACGGCTGCATTCTCGCCACGGTGGTAAGCTGAGGACTGGTTTCCTCCCCCTGGAATCTGCCAGAACCTCTTCGACCCCGCTAAAACCTACGAGACTCAATCTAAACCACCTAGGTACTCACCATCGCTCAGCCCTCCTTCCCCCTCCTCGATGGTTCACTGCACTCCATATGAATACTTATGTCCCCACTCTCTCTCTCTCTCTCGCCCACTCTCTCTCGCTCACTCTCTCGCTCACTCTCTCGCCCACTCTCTCTCTCTCTCTCGCTCTCTCTCTCTCTCACTATGTCTCTCTCTCTCTCTCGTTCTCTCTCTCTCTCTCTCTCTCTGTCTCTCTCTCTCTTTCTCTCTCTTTCTCTCTCTCTCTCTTTCTCTCTCCGGACAGTGTGCGTGTGTTCCCGCCTCGTTCGCGCATTGGTTCGGCAACGGAATACGTCATTTGTGTGTTTGTTGTTGGTCTTTCCATCGGAGCGCCTCCAGTGCTTCAAACTTTGTGTTCACGCTGCATTGTTTGCATTTTTGTCAGTATCGGCGCCTTGCTGCCGTCCATCAGAACAGGGTTGCCGCCCTAGCGCGTGGATCGCACTCCTGGATCCGCATTGTTCCTTGTTGCTGCCGTCCCCCCCTCCCTTCCCGTCCTCTGCCTTTGCCTTGTTCTCTTGCTGGTCCTACCGGTCGTGCTTCTTCTCCATCCTGCCGTCCCCACGACCAGCCCCCCCATGCCGCATCACCTGACGCGTGGTTCAGGCGGTTTGGGCGCCCTACTCTCAGGAGGGGAAAAAACACACAGACACAATTATTCGTCGATTCCCAGAAAATATGCGAAAATATGGGAAGTGGGGGGGAAGACAGAAATCCAGAAAATATGGGAAAATATGGGGAATCTTTTTATTTGTGTGTATTTATTTGTGTGTCCCAGGGCCCCTTCATATTCGTGCCCACCGCTCACGATCTTTCAGCCTGATCTGTTCAACAGCCGCACGGAGGGAGGGCGGGCGGTTCTGCATCTCGTTTCCTGATCTCTCCATCGCGCACGCTCGTCTGAAAAAGCACTCCCGGTCGTTTCCACGGACGGAGGGCGGGTGGTTGTTGCCACCATGGGATTCTCGTTCTGGTTCCGCGCACGCTCGTCTTGAGCACGTTTTCACCACCCACCAAGCCACCCCAACCCAACCCGAAGCCCTCAATTTGCCCTCCATTTCCAGTGGGGGGGGTCAGGGAACGTTGAAAAAACACATGGAACCCGTACCCCCCCCCAACCCGAAATTCGGGTCAAATTCGGGTCGGGTTGGGGTGGTCTGGTAGGTAGTCATTTTCATTGCCGCTCCAGACCATTTATTGCCACTTGGGTATAAGTATGCACATTCCGGCACCGGAGACTTCATCCCTGGAACGCACACTTCGGCAACGGAGAGATTCGTGAAGAAGGTTGGTCGCCCGAGGAACGAATGGATTAGTCAAGTCGCCAAACACGCTGCTGTGATCGGAGAGAATATCCATTGTGAGTCCGGTTGGAGGGTCGGTGTGAGCCGGCATTGCATGTCCTAGTTGCGTCTACGTGCCTTTCGGCGTACGACTTGTGAGTGAGTGAGTGAGTATAAGTATGCAGCAGCTACACGGCTGGAGGGCGGGGCGTTTCAAGAGTTTAGGTATGGTTGGATATGACGTTTGGTTCCCCACCAGAAGTGAAAACAATTGCAGCACGGATAGGGAGGTTCTTTTTTCAATTCGGTTGTGCTGTTGTGCGTTCCCGCGAACTCTATGACCCCGCCGCGTCGCCGAAACTCGTAAAGCTCGATCGGATGAGGTCGTCTTCTTTGAAAACGTAGTGACCAGGTGGATGGCGGGCCCATTGGGCGTTCGTCCTTCATGGCAGGAGCGGTCCGCGTAGTGAAACGAACACTCGCAGGGACTGAAGATGGAATTTAGGACGGGAGATTGCATGGTACAATTGGTGTAGTTGTGTTTGTGGTTGCCGTGTTTCCTCCTCCTGCTCATCCGTCCTCAGAAGCACACCTTGCCGATCGCGCAGTGCGTAATCGATGGGCACTTTGGATCGAGGTCGTCTAGAGCACCCTGGGTGGCGGATGGGACGCGGGTCAACATAATGGGAAGGGATTGACGGGAGGGGGAGGATGTTGGATGCGGCGCGAGCGCGCCTGGGTAGTGTCTCCACCCTTCGCCCGTCTCCCCCCGCAGGTGCACCTGAAGAGCGTCCCGTGGAAGGGCTGTGCAGGCGTGGCCCTTGTCTGCCTGTTCCTGCAGTTCCTCTACAACGTCCGAGCGGCGTCGTTCATGGCGCAGGCCCGTGGGCCTGGCATCCCTGGCGGTACTGTATGAGCAGTCCCGCCTCCACGCGGGACCAATGTTTGGGCTCCGATTGGACTTGGAAATTGTCCAGGATTGAAAGTTGGCCCCAGAGAGGAGGTCGAGGGTACTTGGGCCGACTGGCCCAGGAGCATCGATCCTCGGGAGGTCCTGGGAAAGGGGCGCAGGCACAACCAAAAACAGGGCAGGTGCACCAAATAAGAAACTAGCCAGCCAGGAGGTGCCACGTGGGAAGTTCTTCCCCCAGGAAGCCTTGGGAATCCACAGAAGCCTTGGCAATCCTCAGAAAGTTCAGAGATCCACGAAACACGTGCCTCCGATTGATTGTAGCAAGGCTCCGTTCTGCCTTTGCAGTATATCGTGTGTGGATTCGCTGTGCCTTCACGGTGCCAAACTCACCCTCCCCACTGCATGGTTGTGGGGAGGGTACGGCAGACTCGCGCCGCCTCGACGCGTCGGCCCCACTGGCGCGGGCGGTCAAGGCAGAGCACCTCTCGAGGGGCCCGCTGTGGCCCACGGCGCGGCATCGAGCGATGGGGCCGAGAGCCGCTCTGAGCGGCGGGCCGGCCGCGCGGCCCAGACCTCGGCAAGGCTGGGGGAGGACAGGCCAAATGGGGACTGGGGGGGCTGCATCGACCCTCGAGATCGCCCCTCGACCCTCGACCCCTGCCTGCAGCGACCCTCGATCCGATTGGGGGGGCCCCACAGTCCGCCCCGCACAGGAGCGTGCGGATTCGCCATTGGGGCTCGTCGCCGACCCATCGGCGATGTGTCGCCGACTCCGGGTGGGTGGTTCCCCCCCCCCCGAGCCGCCCGCTGAGGCCTCCGAAGAGATGGGCCACATGGTTGAGCTCCTGTACGGTGTCCGCTCTGCGCTCGGACAGCCTCCGCCGCCCGACCCCTCGGACGACGAGGACGACTCTTCGGGCGGCGACGAGGGGTGCGCGGGCTTCTACTCGAAGGGCGTCAGGCTGGTCGGCTTTGAAAGCTATTGCGTCGGCTATCGGACGGACTTCATGACGTTGTGGACGAACCCTGGCAAGGATTCCGAGGTGTACATGGAGTTCCCGCTTGGCATGGAGTTTCCGCTCCGGGTAGGGGTAGCGGCGTTGAGCATGAACGGCCCCATGGCCCACTTCGACGCAGCCGCCCGCGATGGCGACTACTTCCTGGAGTTCACTCTGCTGAACCGCAGTCAGGGCGAAGATCTCTCGGGGAAGTCCATGATCGAGATTCACGAGGTGGATCTCAGCCAGCGCACTCATCAGGCGGACCTCAGCCAGCGCCAAGCGGAGGACGACTACGACGCACTCTTCGAGGCGCACGGGGTTCGGACGCTGTTGGCTAGACTGCCCGTGCTCGCAGTCCGCAGGTCGGACCGTTCCACGTGCGCGGTCGACGCGGTCTTGGTGGACGGCTCCCCGCTCTTAGGCCCGAGGAAGAAAAAAAACGCCAGAAACATAAATTGTTGGCGCTCCTGATGGGCTTGTTTTCGACCACCACCACCACCATAAGTTGGATGGGGGAAGAAGGTGGAGGATGATGATGATGATGAGGAGGAGGAGGAGGAGGAGGAGGAGGAGGAGGAGGAGGAGGAGGAGGACCCCCTCCCCCTCCTACTTACGGTGGTGGCGGTGGGAAACAAGCCCACCAGCTCCGCGCAGATTCTTAGATCCGCGTTGGGCCACCCCAGCGGCGCCTCCAGCGCCGCCCCTGTCGCGCTCGGGAGGGGTGTAGTGGAGGGCGCCAGGGAGGGGCGCCCAGCGCAGATCCAACAAATCCGCGCGGATCGCCGAAAGTTTTATGGTGTTTTTTCTTCTTGTACAGGCGTGGGCTTGTTCGCCATTGACCCCCTGGTCCTGCTGGACGCCCAGTGGAGCATCGAGCTGAGCACCGTGAAGTCCTTCCGCGGCAACCTCGACTTCAGCGTGGCGTTCGACAGCGACCTCGTGCGCTTCTGCCTCTACAGGCTTCCCGAGCCAGCGATGCCCCCCCGAATGTCGGGGAAACGTAAGACTCAAGTACCCCAGAACTCGGGTTTGCCAGCGCTTTTTGACGAGCGCGTCCTGGATTATGACGGTCCACTTCTCGTGGGATGTGTGCAGCGGGAGCCTGCGGGAGCAGATTGGGTAGCGCCATTTTCATGATGGCCCCGTCAGGACAAACCGAGTCCCCCGAACCCGTGTCTTACGCCTCCCCGATGCAGGCTTCCTGAGCCAGTAATGCCCCCCCGGATGGCCGACGACAGGGTAGGCTACTTCAGCACCGACTTCGAGCTGCTCGGGGACTACCGCGCCGACGCCAGCACAGACTCTCGGGCGTTCAAGATCGAGGAGCAAACAACACGAGCATCACCCCGGATGACATATCAATCGCCCCCCCCTTGGGTTCGAAGGGGGGGGGGGATGGGCGCGTGCCGTCGGGGGGGATCGGGGGTGGGGACGGCAGTTTTGGAGCTCAAGTTCCTGGGCTAGGTGGTGGGGGTGAGAATTTTGGACGCGCGTTGAGGGGCGATGGGGGGGGATCGGGGACGCTCCGTCGGAAGGTCAGCCGCCACCCCCCCGATGAGTATGCCATCCGGAGTATACTTTCGGAGACTTGCCATGGGTCGGCACTGCGGCCCCCGGGCGGCGCCTCCAGCGCCGATCCAAGGAATCAGCGCGGACCTCAGAAAGGTTCTGCGTATGCCATTGTTTGCTCCTCGGCGCCAGAAAATAAACCCAGTGGTCCGCATGATCAACAGGCAGTGGCCACAGCGCGGTCCGCAGGCGGGCCGTGGCGTGATTCACTACTACGTGGATCCGACGGTCCCGGAGCCCTTCCAGGCGGCCACGAAGGATCGGGCGTGTTCTCGGGAGCGGCCAAAGAGGGGGGTATTGATTGGGGAGGTGGGGGGGAATCGTGGCCGGGGACGTGACATCTCCCCGGATTTCTTGGCCCCCTCGTCTTCTTGCAAGACGCCCCCTGGCCCCCCCTTTTCCCCCGTGCCGCGCACGTGCCGTGGACTGTGATTTGCGCACGGGCACGCCCTTTCGGCGAGCGGGCCTTCGCCCCAGAGTGTCAGAGCTCCTCCTCCTCCTCCTCCTCCTCCTCCTCCTACTCCTACTCCTACTCCTACTCCTCCTCCTCCTCCTCCTCCTCCTCCTCCTCCTCCTCCTCCTCCTCCTCCTCCTCCTCCTTCTCCTCCTCCTTTTCGTCCTCCTCCTCCCTCCTCTGCCTCCTCCTCCGCCTCCTCCTCCTCCTCCTCCTCCTCCTCCTCCGCCTCCTCCTCCTCCTCCGCCTCCTCCTCCTCCTCCTCCTCCTCCGCCTCCTCCTCCTCCTCCTCCTCCCCCTCTTGGACGCCCCCCTCGTTGGGTGCCCCCGAGAAGGAGGGCGTGCTCCTGTGGCAGCCTGCGTTCGCGGCCGTGGGCCTCGAGATCCAGGCGCACACGCGCGGCGATCCGGACTGGCCCAAGGACTACGACGTGGCCGACATCTCGGGCAGTGCCGAGGGGGACCATGCGGTAGCAGAACGTTTGACCCGTGTATGTTCTCACAATTCCGTCTCCCCAATCCCCCATCGGGTAATTAAAAGACATTGCCGGAGGTTTTTTGCTATGTTCGGCTTCTGAGGGCCCTCACCGGCCCTCGAGACCGTCAAAAAACGACTCAGGATGAAAAACAGGTTCAGGGGAATGGGTCGAGACCTCCAGGGGCCGACGTAATGCAAAAATCATGACGTCGGGGTGTCTGGGTCGGTATCAAATCATTTGACCCTTGTGTGTCCTTGCAATTCCGTCCCTTGTGTGCATTGGCGTGCGATAGCGTCTGGCAATCGATCAGAGAGTGCCTTTCTTGGCCTCGAGCTAGCGTGGATGAGCGTCGATTCGGCGTCGGATGGCGTCGAGTCGCAAGAGCCAGCAGGATGGCACGGGAGGCCTCCGTGAGTTGCCACCGAAGGGCCACCACGAGTGGGGAGCACCGGCTCCTACTGGAAGTCGAGGTGCCAGGATCGAAGCGCGAGGAGGTGTTTGGACGTCTGGGGCCATCTTGTGGGGCTCTGGAGTGCAGGGCTGGACCTGAACGGTGTTTTGGCCATCTCGCGGCCCGTCTGCTTTTTCGTTCTGTTTCGCATGCAAGGCGATCCGACGGCAAAACGAGGAAGAACGAAAAACACTACGAAAACGAAGCACACCGTTTAGGTCCATCCCTGCTGGATTGTTCTCGGAGGCCCCGAGAAAAGTACGTTTCCTCAAGGAAGTGGCGACCCCCCCAACGACGATTCCCCTTGGCATTGCCCCACGATCAGCTTCAACACCATATCTTGGGCAGCCGGCGATGGGGAGAACGTCTTTGCCATTTCGAAGGCCAAACAATTGCGCAAGCATGCGTGTTTGGAGGTGCGCGCGCGCATCTTGGGCTGGTGCCGACCATGAAGCCCGTGCTAGCCTCCGAGCGTGTACACGTTTGCCCTTGTTTGGGCTTCTGCCATCGGACAGTCCGTCGTCGACCCGCGCTCTGGCGAGATCCTGAAGGCTAACATTGTCTTCACGCTCGGCTGCCAGGGACAAATCAATGACATCATCATCATCATCATCATCATCATCATCATCATCATCATCATCATCATCATCATCATCATCATCATCATCATCATCATACACTTTTCGGAGGTCCGCGCAGGTTTCTCGGATCGGCGCTGGACCCCCTTCCCGGGCGCTCGCGGCGCGCCAGGGGCGGTGTTGAAGGCGTCGCCAGGGGCCCCCGGCGCCGATCCGAAAAATCCGCGCGGACATCCGAAAGTTGATGTTTACAGTGGGGAACCATGCCAAGAAACACCCTGCTCGCCTCCAGGGTGCCCTGGGTTCCTTGGGTTCCGATTGTCCTGCTGTGGCAAGCGTGACGCTCCCGCACCAAAAACCCATGGACTTCCCGTGGTTCCAGGATTTGTTTTTTTGTGGGCGGTCCCCTAATTCAAGCAGTGGCGAAGCGTCCTGGCGTGCCCATAGGCCTACCAAGCAATGTTCTAAGAACCTCGTGTAGTTTCAACGAAATGCTCGTAGAACATTCCTGGCTGGGACTGTCTTGTGTTAACACATCGGGTCGATGTTCTAAGAACATGGTTTGTGTTCTTAGAACACCTTTGGGTTCTAGAACATTTCGTGATAGGCCTATAGGAATGCCGGGAAGGTCAGCCCCTGCTCAGCTATTGTACACCACTGCCCGTTCCGCCAGGCTGGCTGGAGTCCTGGCTCGGGGCCAAGTTCATGTCCTCGGTGACCTCTGGCGCGCCCACGCGCCGCGCCGCCCCGAGCACGGCGCGGCGCCTCGAGGAGCGAAACGGGGGCGCGCCCAGATCTGTTGGCTCCCGCCACGCCGCCGAGCCCGCGGCGGACCCTGGGTTGAATTCGGGCCTGTCCCTGCAGAGGAGGCATATCAAACAATCATCAAAAAATGCGTTGGGGGCACACACATGGACTATTTGGGGGTATTTTGTTCACCATGTTCGAGCATCCGCCCAGAATCCGCCTGTAGGAGGACATGCCCGACCCAACCCTGGGTGCCTCTCTCCGGGGTGCGCTGGCGTTGGCTAGCTTGGAAGATTTGTGCGTGTCCCACGAAGGAGGACGCACAATGACACAACCACGGGTACAGTCGGACCGAGGTAAAAGGTCGAGATCGGTTCGAGGAGGATACCCTGGTGTTCTGGACCTGGCTTTCTTCTACCTGGACCACGGCTGCCTGGCAGGGGACGCGCCCGCAGTCGCCCGCCTCTTACACCGCCTGGTGGGGCGCTTGGCCGCGGTGGGCCTGGACCTCAGCACCGGCCCCGGCAAGTGCGAGGTGGTGCCCGCCAGTGGTGCCGACAGCAACGTGGATTTGGCCTGGCCGCATTTCCGCGGGGCTTCCACCTCCGGGGAGACAACAACTTCGAACTCTTCGGCGCCCCTGTGGGCGACGACAGTTTCTGCGAGAAACACCCGGGACAGGGTGGGCAAGGCTGCCAGCTTGCTGGAAGCTCTCGGGGCACTGGAGAACGCTCAAGTGGCCATGCAGTTGCTTCGCCAGTGTGCCTCCTTCTGAAAAATAGGCTACTCCGTGCGCGTGATCCCGCCGACGGCGCACTTTGCAGGCCATGGATTCTGCCGTCCGCGCCTGCCTGGAGCAACTCAGCGGGTCCTCCCCCTCTGGAGACTCTTGGAAGCAAGCGCAGCTCAAACTCAACCGAGGTGGGCTCGGGCTCCGCTCCTCCGAGAGGCACGCCGCGGCCGCCTACTTGGCCTCGCGCGCCCGCGGCGCCGAACTCTGCCGACAGCTCTACGCAGCCTACGACGACGCCGACGGCGGGGACGGGGGCAGCCTGGCGGCGGCGACGCAGGCAAGCCAGCGGACCGGATCGAGTTCGACCCTTCCCAGCATTGGGACCAGCGGCTCCTCTCCGAGAAGGTGGACGACGCCGTCCGCGACGAGCTCTGGCAGCGCGCCTCGCCAGCCGCGAGAGCCCACCTCAACTTGGTGGCGGCCCCAGGCGCCGGCGCCTTCCTGCAGGCCCCCCCGAGCCGGGCTCTTGGCACCGACTTCCCGCACAGTTTGATGCAGGTAGCGCTGCAACGCCGCCTTCGACACCAGCTGCTCGACGAGGAGGCCTTCTGCCCGGCGTGCGGGGAGTTGATGGGCGTGTTCGCAGATCACGCGCTCACCTGCAGCTGCCACGGCGAAATAAAGCGGCGCCACAACTGCCTCCGGAACCAGGCCTGGCACGAGGCGGTGGCCGCGGGCTACGCCGGGGCGGAACTCGAGCGCCCGGGCCTGCTGCCGCCGCGCGCGCCCGGCGAGGGCCCCCAGGCCGGGGAGGCCGGCGGCGACGACCTGGACGGCGACGGGAGGCGCCCCGCGGACGTCTTCGTCCCGCGCTGGCGAGGCGGCACGCCGGCGGCGTGGGACTTCGCCGTGACCTCGGGCCTCCGCGCGGACCTGCTCGCACTTTTGGCCGCGGTGGGCGGCGGCGACGCGGCAGCGACCCGCTACGAGGAACAGAAGCGCCTGCACCTGGACACGGCGCGCAGATGCTCTGAGGCCGGCCTGACGTTCATACCGATGGTATGCGAGGCCCACGGCGGCGGCTGGGGCCGCGACGCGCGACGCGCCTTCGCGGTGCTCGCCAAGCGCGCGGCCGACGCTACTGGAGACGACGCCGCGCTCGCGGCCGACCAGCTTGCCCAGCGACTTTCCATTTCCTCGCGCAGGGAAAATGCGCGGGCAGTGCTGCGACGCCTCCAGCCGCGAGCGGGCGCGACGGCCGCGCGCCTGGCCGCGGCCACGGATGCCGCCACGGCGGATGCCGTGTGAGCTGCCTACGGACCCCCAGACCTTCTGACCACGACGACCCCGACGACCCCCGACCCGTCGACCCACGACCCCCAGGCCCACGCCCCCTTGGCCCCTGACCCAGACCCGCGGACCCACGCCCCCCCCGACGACCCCCGATCCACGACGACCCACGCCGTTCCCCCGAGCGTCGCCGGCGCTTCTCGCCCCCCCCCCGCCCCCCGCCCGCCCCCACGCGTGCGTTTGCTTGCTGCTGCCTTTGCCTCCCCCCTCCCCTCCTGTCGCCGTTTTCCTCCCCCTCCTCCTCCTCCTTCTCCCCCTGGCCCCAATCGGTGGCGGGAGTTTCGGCCGCGCTTTCCGGTCAGCTTCGGACAGCTGTTTGCGCATTTGGCGTGTTGCGGCCTCCCCGTTTGGAGTTGGGAGCCCCTGGAGGGGGAAGACGCCTCCAGATTGGCGGTCGGGCCACGATGGCCCGCGGCGAGTAGGGGCAGTTGCGCCGCCGTGCATGTCCGCCACCGCGTTCGGGGAATCTGCGCAGCAACGCTCCAGCCAGGTGCAAGCGCGCATTTTTGAATTTTCCTCCTGTAGAGGGACGGGCGATTTTGTTCTGTGCTGGGAACTCGGCGCTAGAACGCCCCCCAAACAAGTTCTTCGTGTTTGTTGGATGTTCTTGTGCATCCTGGGAAGGGTACCCTTGGATGTTCCGCGCGTTTTGGCAGGGCACAGGGTCTCGTATGCTTGAGGGATGTTTTCTGGCCTAGGTCCGAATGTATATGATTGAATGTGATTCCGGCGCCCCGGCGACACCTCCTAGCCTCGCGCAGGGCCGTTTTTTGGGGACGAGATAGGCGCAGCCTCGGCCATCAGCCTCAGCCCTCGATAACATACATGTTTGGAGCTCCGCGCGGTTTCCTCAGATCGCCGCTGGCCCCCCCCCTGGCGGCACCTTCGGCGCTGCCCTCGGCGCGCTCCGCGCGCCAGGGGGCCAGGGCGTATCGAAGAAATCTTCGCGGAGTTCCACAGTGTTGTTTATACCGTGTTCTCGTTTTCTATTGTTGGTGTTGTACAGCCACGTGGGAGGCGTGCAACACTCGGCCCTTATGGGCCGTCCTTTAAAGCCCTTCGAGGCTCTGGGGGGCGTCTTGGTATCTTGATGGGCATTGGGCTATCTGCGGCTGCTTTGGCACGCCTTGGGATCCTTCGAGGGGTCTCTTGGGCAGTTTTGACGCCCTCGTGGGCCGCCTTGCAGTTTCATTGGTTCGGGAATTTGGTGTATCTGCTGCTCATGTTTCAGTCATATTGACCCGTTTTGGGGTGTTTTCTGGTCGCTCTTATGCCTTGTGCCCTCTTGATCGTTTCCAGACCCATCCCACGCAGTTCAGAAGAACTCTAGATTTCAAGAAGCAGAGCATTTCGAACAGTTTGCGTTGTTGAACCACGATGGCCTCCCCAGGGCATCCTTCGGGAGCCGCCTTGGAGCCATCAGGGGGCCTCTTGCACACGCGTGCTGGAGGCAATGTTGTCCTGAGCTTCGCCCTGCGCGATCTTGGAGGCCACCCTGGTGCCATTTGGGGGGCCCTCCTGGAGCTCGCCTGGACCATCTGCGGAGCACCTGCTCCGTGATGGCGCCGCCGCAGCCCCTCGGCGCCTTCCCCACCCCGGCCCTGAAAACCGGCCAGGCTGGGCTCGGGGGGCGGGTTTTGGAAATGGCGCGGGCCCCAATCGCCGAGGGATCCCCAGGCCGAACGAACGAACAAGGCAAGCCGCGCCCCGACAGCGCATCGCACTCGTGCGGAGCCATGTGAAGGAAGACGGCGAAGACGCCCAGCAGCAGCAGCAGTGTATCGGGCGACGTGCTCTCGGAACTTTGTCCAAGCGCTGTGCGAGGGTATTCGAGTTTCTGAATAAGCGTCGGGGGGGCGTCACCTCCGCCGTTAGCGACACATCGACCCCCGTCGTGGGAAGCCACCGCGTGCCGAAGGCGCTTCGACCCCCGTCGGGAGGGTACCCCACCACGAATATTAACAAACCCAGAGTAGGCTGCGCTGCACACGGAGGGAGGAGTGAGACGACGGAAGAGGGAGGGAGACGACGAGGAACCCCGGAGGGGTCGGCGAATTCGTCTCCGCGCTGGCCGATGCGGGCAGGGAGTTCGGGGAGCCGAGGATCCTCGGCGGCGGCCCGAGGTGCGACGCGGCCCCCGCCGCCGCTGCCGCCGCCACCCCTCAGGATGTATACCGCTTGGGAGGTCAGATTCTAGACACTTCGCGTAACCCCTCAAGGAGAATGTTGCACGTCTACCTCTGGCGCCTGGCGCGACAAGGTACAATTCGTTCGTCTCGGTGGCCTCGCCTCTAGGATGGTTGCACGTCGGCCGCCTGGCTCTCCTGGCAGCTCCTGCAGCCTGCCTTCAGCCCCCGGCGCCACTCAGCATCCCTCGGCGGCAGCTTCGGCAGCCGTGAGTGCGCTCGCTGGGTACTTAGGCTCCGCCCGTAGCCTGGGTCGACCTTTGACGCCGCCTGCGCCTTCACTTGCGGCTGCGAAAAAAAGTGGCTCCTCAAGCTCATCCAAAAACGACACCCAGACGAGTTGCCTTGATCAGGGATGTGGAGGAGCATGCAGTGGAATCAAGGGCTGGGTAGGAAGTCATACCCCAAGAGGGGCGAATGGAGGAGGAATCGTAGGAGGAGGAGGAGGAGGAGGAGGAGGAGGAGGAGGAGGAGGAGGAGGAGGAGGAGGAGGGGGAGGAGAAGGAGGAGGAGGAGGAGGAGGAGGAGGAGGAGGAGGAGGGTGAGGATTAGGAATGAGGAGGAGAACGTGGAAAAGGAGGAAGAGGAGGAGGAGGAGGAGGAGGAGGAGGAGTTGGGGGAGGGGGGGGAGGCAGGAGGGAGGAGGAGGAGTAAGCGGATGAAGAGGAGGACAAGGAGGAAGAGAAGGAGGGGGAGGAGGTGGAGGAAGAGGAGGAGGAGGGCGAACAGAAGAGCCAGAAGCCTCTTGGAAGCGTGGAAGCTGTTTGGAGGCCTTTTGGGGCGTCTTGGGTGCATCTTGGCGGGCGCAGGGCCGTCTTTGAGCGTCCTAGGTGCCTCGGGAATCCTCTTGAGGCCTCTTCTGGGTCTCGTCCGAGCCTCTTAGAGGCCTTTTGGGGCGCCTCGTGGAACCCTCTTGATGCGTTCTTAGCTTCAGGGGCGCTCTTGGAGCCGTCGTGGAAGACATCGATACCAAAAGAGGGGAGCTTTCGTTGGCCTTGCCTTTCTAGAGTGCTTAAAGTCGCCTCTCGGGGCGCTCTTGGCGCGCTCTTGGGTGCTCGTGTGGCTGTTTTGGGCTCTCTTGGGTCCTCTAGGGGTTCTCTTGGGCCATCTTGGAGCCATCTTGAGGCCTCGGATGTCCATCGGAAGCGAAAAGGCGAGAAAGTCAAAAACATTGATTCTCCTCGGGTTGTTGACGGGTTTCCCTCTCTTGGGAGCCTCTTGTGGGAGCTTTTTGGCTTGTTGGAGTCGTCGTGAGGCGGTCTTGGGGCTTCTTGGAGCAGCTTTGCAGCCATCGAGCGATCTTGCGCTAGCTGGAGCAATCTTAGAGGCCATCTTGCACTCTCTGAGGCCATTTTGGAGCCATCTTGAGCCATCTTGGACGCTCCAACTACCCGCGACCGGCCCCGCCCATGTCAAAGGGAGGGAGTAAGCGGGAGGGCCACAACCCTCCCCGAAGGGGAAGAAGGGGATTGGAAGAGAAAACTCCCAAGACCACCTGCGCCCAGAGGGCTGGTGAGATTCAGCCTCGGCGCTGGCATATCCTGTCGGTCGTCGGTCGTCAAGCATGCGGGCCGTGTTTTTCTTCGTAATTCAGTCTTTCGACCGCACTCGCGTGCGCTAGCGTCTGGTGGTCGATGCGAAGGTGTAGATTGAGCGTCGATTTAGTGTCGACTAGCGTTGATCAGCGTCGGCTTAGCGTCGACTAGCACTGGTTAGCGTCGCCTCGCAAGATCCAGCAAAATGGCATGTGAGGCTCCCATGAGTTGCGACCGAACATCCGTGCTCCAGCCGGGCACAATTCCGTCGAGTATGGTTTATTTTGGCTGAAATCTCACGCAGCATACAGCCGAATTCGGTTGAGTGACCCCTCAATCGGCCGAACGCTGAGATCCAGCGGCGCAACAAACATGCAACACGGTGAAAATCCGGAACAGGGCTCCCGACCCCATCTTTCCGCTGCATTTTTCGAACCCGATCGATCTGTGATGGCTCCAGGGCGCGAAGGTACGCGCAAACGCCCGACCCGAAGAAATGCCGACGCCCGGATCTCAGGGAACAGCCCTCAACCGCTATTGCGAAGACCTCCCAGGAGGTTGCCCCTTGACCCCCCCTCCGCTGTCACAACCGCGAACGTGCAGAGGCGGCGACATCGGCATGCGCACGACTCTTCGGAAGCCCGCGCGCAGTTCTCGGATCTCACCCGCCCCCCCCCCCCCTCGGGGCGCGGAGCGCGACCGCGGCGCCGCGCCCCACAGGGGGGCTTGCGGCGCCGACCCAAGCAGTCCGCGCGGAGCTCCGAGAGCTGAGGCTCACGGGTGTCTCTGTTCTCGCCGTTTCGTGAAGTCTTGCCAGGATTGTAATGTTCCAGCCTCCCTCAGCCACAACCACCAGCAAGAGTTTCGAGCACCAGGAGATCACAGCGAGACTGGCGAGTTTTCGCGTGTCGGGCCCCGGGAGGCGATACTCGCTCGACACTGTTTCGATACTTTTCTGGTTGCTCGAAATCATTTTCTCGGATGTGGTCCTTAAGTACGATGTGAACAACATAATGTCAGGCGTTGTTCCGTGGTCAGGGGCAACGATCGGGGTGATCGGCTCAGGTGGTGGGAACATCGAGCTCGAGTCGGCGATACATCGCCGATAGATCGGCGATGGGCCCCCGATGTCGAGTCCGCAAGGTCCGGAGCGGGATGGGTTATCCGGCCCCTATCGGCGATGTATCGTTGATTCAGCTTGATGTCTCCCCCCGGGCACCTCGGGCTCTTGAGGGGCTTGGGTTTTCCGGCCGATCTTTCGTTTTGGGCCGTGGAATTTGCTTGTGGCCTAGGCCTGCCGTTGCCAGAAAAGCCCATGCTTTCCTTATTATGCGTTCGTTACGGTAGCACGATGACTGTATCGTTGCCCCTCACTTGACAGTAGGAAAAACATAGACGCAGACACAAAGAATCGCCGATTCCCATGAACAGATGGGGAACAATTGAAAGTGACGGGGAAGGCGGGAATCCATGACATATGCACCAAACATTAGGAATCCTGGGTTTCGTTGCAATTTACTGGTGTGTCTCTGGGCCCTTGAATAACCTGGGAGCATCGACCCCTACAGCCAACCCGTATCATAAGGATGCGCGTTGAGGATGCAATGGCCCTTGGAGTGCCATGCGTGTTACAGGGTTTCGAACGAGGTTGGCCGGCGACAGTTGCTAAGGATGGGCCGAAGGGGCAAGGATGCCACGGTACCCTTGGGAAGGTTGCCCATCCTTACCATGCGGGTCGACTGTAGTCGCCCACTCATCGCCGATCAGGGCTCAGGGTGGCCCACCCTGCCTCCTGCCCACGATCGCTTGGCTTCGCCATCCGAGGGCCTGCAGCAGGTGGTGGGCGGTGTATCGGTGGTCTTCTCAGGGCGATGCCACCCCGCCGACCCCTTTCTGAGCGGCCAGCTCGGACGGGACCAGGACGGGGCGAAATCCGTTCAGAGCGCTCCGGAACGCTCTCCAGAGCGTTCCAGACCGCTCTGAGAAGGCCGCGGCGCCCGAGACGTCCTTCCGAGCCGCGGGATCTCAGAGAGTCTCGATCTACCCTCACCCGATTTTGTCCTCTCCCTGGCTTCTCGTTACAGTGTGGACCCATGCCAAGAGACACCCTGCTTGCCTCCAGGGTGCCATGGATTTCTTGGGTTTCGATGTTTTTGCCATGGAAAGTGTGACGTTCCCACACCAAAAATCCATAGACGTCCTGGGGTCTCAGGGCTGGGTCTCTTGTGGAAGGTTTCTTGTGGTCGGCCCCTTGTTGTGCCAGTCGGCCCAAATACTCACGCCCACGACGTCGTGATTCTCTGTGCCCCTGGGCCCCTTCCACTGGTCGGGCTGCACGGAAGGGGGGGACCCAGAATGGGGCAGCTACGAAATCTGCGGTATGCCACAAGTTTCGGCCCCGCCGCCGGGCCCACGATACATGGGCGCCGGGAGGCGCCGGGGATACCAGCTACGTGAGCTGACTCGCCAACCCTCAGGGGCAACCATAGGGGGGGATGGGCATCGGGGGGGATGACTCGACCCCCAATCGCCCACTGATCGCCGATGCCGATATGGGCTAGATAGCCGCGGCCTGCCCAGGAACGTACGGATTCGCTATCGGGGGCCTGTCGCGAACCTATCGGCAATGTATCGCCGACTCCAGGTCGATGTTCACCCCCTAAGCCTACCCCACCCTATCGTTGCCCGCGCGCCGGGGAGGAGGTTCCAGCGCAGATCCAAGAGATCCAAGGAGCCTGCGCGGAGCGCCAGAAGTTTATGCTTAGTTGATTTTCTCTTCTATCCTTGTCCCCATCGTTGCCCCTGTGGTGGCCCCTATCGATGCCCCTGTGCCTATCCCCCCCTATCGTTACTCCTCCCCCCCCCCGTTTGTCACCCTCCCCCCTGTCGTTGCCCCGATACCCCTGCGGTGGCCCCTATCGTTGCCCCTGTGCCGATCCCCCCCTGTCGTTGCTCCTCCCCCCCCCCCCGTTTGTCACCCTCCCCCCCCCCCCTGTCGTGCGGTGCGAATCCAGACTGCCAGTGCCTGCGCTCGCCTGCTCGATCTCCCGAGTGCCGGCGGGTAGCCGCCGCTGCCGGTGCAAATCGTCGGGTCCTTTTGCCAGCTCCGTGGACCTCCCAGGGGCCTACCCCAAACCTCCTCTTCCTCGACCCCCCCCCCTCGCAGGCGATGTTTCTCCCCCAATCCCCGAGTTTCGCCCAAAAAGTCTGGCCGCTCAGAAAAATGGAAAAACCCTGGGATACACCCCAAGGGGGCTATTCGGACGCACCCCTATCGAGGATGGGCACCCCCCCATCGTATATCCAAGGGTTGGGCCCCAAATTTCTGGTCCATTCGGAAACCCCACGAAGCCTGGGATAGGGGTCGACGTACCCCTTGACCAAAAACCGGACCCCCCCCTGTGATGCGCCACGAGCTCGGCGCCGGCCCTCCCGCCGGGCGCCCTCCTCGCGCAGAGAGGCCCGCCGCCGGCGCGGGGCCCCGCCGGCGGGCGGCGCGGGAGGGCCGCGCAGGCCCCCCGGCGGGCGGGGCGGCGGCCGCGGAGGGCGGCGAGGAGCGCCGCGGGGGGGGAAACTAAAACGACGCGAAGATCGGGACAAAATCGGATCGGGATAACTCGAAATCTCTGAGAATCGGCGGGTTTGGAGGATGTATTGGGCGCCGCGGTCGCTCCAGAGCGTTCCGGAACGCTCTGAGAGCGCTGCGGAACGCTCTGGAGCGATTTATCCCGATCCTAGCCCTGTTTTAGAAACGGCGGCAGGCTGGCGGGCGTCGGGGAAGACAGTCGGCCCACCCTTTTCGAGGGTGCCCCTCGCAGCCTTGCCTCCGCTGCCCATCCTTGGCCACTTTCGTTGGCCACGCCCCGCGCGAAGAGCTCCGATGTGGCCTTCCAAGGCCCTTGCATCCTTTATACTGGTTGACTGTACTGGAAAATCGCATGTGAACCCATGCCCCCCCCAACTCGGGTTAGCTTCGGGTGGCCTGGCAGGCAATCACTACCGGACATACTCTGCACGCACATGCAGCGTGCACGCCTTCGCGGTCGGCCTCCGTTGGCCTGCGTTGGAACGAGGTCTGCTTCCGCCAGCCTGCGCTTGAGCACGCTCGCTGGTGCACGCGGGACCGCGGACGGAGGGCGCACGCGTCATGGCGCCAACATCGCAGAGCGGATTTCGTTGGGAAAACGAAGGGATGGGCCCGGAGTGTCCTGGAGAAGTTCGTTCAGGATGTCGAAGTGGATTTCTTGCGGATTTCTTTTTTGGGCCATGAAGGCAGACTAACAAACAATCCACGTGAAATTAATTTAGTTTTTCGCTCGACCTTTCAAGGTTTTGCAAAGACAGTAGTCCGCGCGAAAATCCGCTGCAGCACGTCTGCAAGATCGGTGCACTGACGAACGGTCGTCGGCGTCGGCGTCGGCGTCGTCGTCGTCGTCCCCAGTTGGAGGCCTCTCTCCAGCTGGGCGCGGCACCAGCGAGCAGCGGCTGCAAGTCAGCAGGGTGCAAGCGGTCAGAGCTTCGAGCCTTGGAAAAGAAAGTGCGCTGCAGACATAAACGTTTGGCGCTCCGTGCGGATTTCTCAGATCCGCGCTGGGCCCCTCCCCCACCGGCGCCTCCGGCGCCGCCCCTGGCGCGCTCCGCACTTCAGTGAGGGGGATCCAGCGCAGATTCCAAAATATCCGCCCGGAGTGTTTATGGTGTTCTTCCTTCTTCTAACGCGGTCAGAGCCCGAGTCAGAAGGGCTGGAGGCGGTCAGGAATAGCTGCAGATTCGCGCCTCGGAGGCCCAAGCTGGAGTTACCCCAGACCGCAGTTCTCCCGGATGACTCGGGCGTCCAACTTCTCGAATCATCAGGGCTGGGGGTGAGGATGCATGCGTGTCCACCGCCTGGAGGATCGATTTTCGAAGACCTCGTCAGGCGGTGGATATGGATATGCTCGGGCCCTCTGGGGCCCAGCTGTATCCATAGCCACCGCCCGCTGGGGTCCCAGCACGTCGATTCCAGGTGGCCAGGCGGAGGACATGGATTTATCCCCGCGCCTCAAAAAATCTTCCAAGTCGGCGGGGGCAAGCGAGTCGGAGCCCGTGCAGGCGCCGGTGGGGCTACGGGTGGGACGCGCCAGGGACGAGTTGGGGCGCAGGAGAGCGAAGAAGGACTGGAGAGAGGACGCTCTGAAGCGGGAGCCACTCAGAGCGTGTAGTCCTTCGCGGGCGTGCCGCAGAGAAAGAAGGAAACGTACACACACACATTCACACACACACACACACGCATATTCACACATCCACGCATCCGCACATTCACACATCCACACGTTCACACATCCACACGTTCACACATTCTCACGTTCACACGTTCACACGTTCACACACACACAGACAGCGTAAATCGAGCATTTGTCCAGAGGAGGAAAAAGGTACCCAAACTGCTACCCTCTCGTTTTCGCCTTGTTGGGCCTCCTGGGAGGCCCCCGTCGCCACCGCTGGATTCGCTTCGAAATTCTGGTCAGAACGCACCCTTTGGTTTCCCTAGTGGCGAGGCGTCCTGACTTGCTTACTGCCAGTTACGCGCAGAGGGGGGGGGTAAAGGTTGGGGAGGGCTTCGCTTCTCAGAATCACCCCTGCTTCTTGGAATGCGCCGCCCTTATCTAGAAGTGTAGGGCCGGCGCCTTCTGAGAAGCAGCCTGTTCCTAAAAAGCCTCTCCTCGCCCTCCACCTTGTACGCACCACCAACTATAGGCTCACCGTAGACTGTGCTACGAACCGTTCGTGCTTTGCAAAAAATGTGTTCTTGGATCGTTTCTGGCTGAGGTCGTCTTGTTGTTGTACGTCGGCTGCATGGTCTGAGAACATTTTTTTGTTATGAGAGCCGTCTTTCTGTTCTCAGCGCATGTCGTCGTAGGCCTGTTGGAATGCCAGGACGGTCGGTCCCTCACCAAATATTTGATACTTTTGTGCCGCTCGGGGTCCTCGCCAGAGCTGGGACCGCCAAGAATCGACCGAGGATGCAGAACCAGTCCCGGGGAACGGGAAGAGAGACGTCTGCGGGTCCATGCTGCGACAAAAAGATCACGGAGTCGGGGGTTTGGGGAAGGCGTGCGCGTAAAGCTGTCAGAGGTCCGCGCGGATCTCCCCAGGCCGCACGGGGCCCCGGCAGTCCGCTGCCGTGCGCCCTGCAGCTCCTCCGGAGGAGCCGAGCGAGCCGGCGGCGGCGGTGTGCGGGCGGCGGCCCCGGGGGCGATCGGTGAGGCGCCCTCTGCTGGGGCAGCGTGCACCATCCGTTCGGAGGGTGCCATCTGAGCCCACGCGGGGGAGGCCCGTTCGGAGAGCTCGGCCTCCGTCTGGGCCTAGTCCGTCTGGACTTAGCCCCTCCTGATATCGGGGGTGGACAGAACCCCCAACAGTGACACGTCGATTAGTGAATTGTCCGTTTTCGGTTCTCGAGAGGGCGCCGGGGCCGGTAATTTTCAGGCCTGTGCCCGCCAGGTTTGGGCCTCAGGTCGTTTTCACTAAACCACGTTTTACTAAAGGGAGGTCTGTCCATCCCCGATGATAGGAGGCTGGGTCCGCACGGAGTAGATCCGCACGGAGTGTCCAGCCTCCGTCTGGGCTTATTCCGTCTGGGCTTCGCCTCTCCTGATCTCTGTTGCCCATCTCTTTATTGCCGCGAACTAGTATTCTAGACGCGTCGCGTAACCCCACCAGCCCGTCCACAAACGATGCCAGGCGAGTTGCCCTGATCAGGGATGTGGATGAGCATGCAGTGCAATGACGGGCTGGGGAAGCCGTCATACCCAAAGAGGGGGAGAATGGAGGAGGTGGAGGAGGAGGAGCAGGAGCAGGAGAAGGAGTAGGAGGAGGAGGAGGAGGAGGAGGAGGAGGAGGAGGAGGAGGAGGAGGGGGAGGGGGAGGAGGAAGAGGGAAGAGGGAGGAGGAGAGGGAACAGGCGGAGCAGGAGGAGGAGGAGGAGGAGGAGGAGGAGGAGGAGGAGGAAGGCCATACTGGCGCCGCGCGGCCACTCGAAAGCGTTGGGGCCTAGACGCCTGAGACGACACGACATCATGATGATCGGACCATCGGCGGCCAGGCGGCTTGCGAGACGCAAACGTCAGCATGCATGCGAGGCTGCGCTGCTTTACATTACGGTGGCGAATGGCGCTGTGGTGAGGCCCGACGCTCAGGCACCCAGCTGCCGTAGGAACATGTACGACACAGGGGGGCGACAAGTACGAAACCAAATGCGACGAGGACGAGCAGCCCGTGGTGTTCAACAAATACGTCGTCGTGCAGGTACCGCTGGATGATCACAACTACCGCGCCTACAACGGCTGTGACCAGCGTATCGGAAGCGACCGCCACGACGCATACGGTTTCCTGCTGTTTCACCAAGTCCACTTGCTGAGCTACGAGAGGCGCCAGCTGTGCTACGAGGGCTGGGGGGGTTAGCTACGGGGACCACACGTAGAGCTACGAGGGCCACAAGCTGAGCTACCAGGGCTAGTTCCTCAGCAAAGAGGGTCTCCACCTGACGTCCAAGGGCCGCCAGCTGAACTACGAGAGTCCCCAGCGGAGCTTCGAGGGCCATTGGCTGAACGACGAAGGCCACAGGCAGAGCTTCGAGAGCCGCCAGCTGATTTACGGGAGCAACCTTTGAGTTACCGCTGAATTGCGAGGACCGCGGCCTGAACCACGGGGGCCACATGCAATGTTGCGACGACCGCCAGCTGAGCTACGAAGGCCACCACCTGAAGGACCATGGCACAGCAACGAAGGCCATGGGTTGAGCTGAGAGGACCACAGGCTGAACTACGAATGCCACAACCAGGGCTACGAGGGTCACCAGCTGAGCAACAAGCGCCACCAGAAGAGCTACCAAGGCCACGCTCTGTGTTCCTAGGGGCTCCTAGGGCTTCGGGCAGGCGTCTGAGGGTCACCAGCTGAGTTGCGAGGGCCACAGGCACGGATGCGAGCGACACAAGCGCAACTACGAGGACCTCCAGCTGAGCCACGAGAAATGCCAAACCATATTCTAAAGTTTCTGAGTTAGAAGAGTCACCAGCAGAGCTGTGAATGCAACCCGCTGGCCTGAGAGGACCACGGACCGCAGGGCTACGAGGGCCATCAGTTGAGCTACAAAAATCCACCAGAAGAGCCATCAGGGCCACGCTCTGAACTTCTAGGGATCCGGGGGCTTCCAGCAAGCTTATGAGGGGCACCAGCTGATCTACGAGGTTCACAGGCACGATTGCGAGGACCTCCAGCTAAGCCGCGAGAAACACCAACAACGTAACCAACACCATCTGCAGAGTTAACAAAGCCACCGGCTGAGCTACAAGGGCCATCGGCTGAGTTACGAGGACCACAGGTTGAACTACAATTGCCAACAACATCGCCAGGGGGACCACAGGCTGAACCACAAGGTCCACCAGCAGAGCTACCAGGGCCACGCTATGAGCTACGATGGAGGGGGTTCAGCAGGCGCACGTGGGCCACCAGCCGAACTACGAGGACCACAAGCACGGCTACGAGGACCACGCACACGGCGCCGAGGACCTCCAGTTGAGTTACGAGAGGCACTTGGGAGATGTACCGTGGCCACCTGCTCAGCTACAAGAGCCACCAACAAAGCTACAAGGGCCACCGGGTGAGTGACGTGGACAACAGGTTGAACCACGACGGCCGCAATCAGGTCCGGGAGTTCCACAAGTTGAGCTGCAAAGGCCACCAGCACAGCCACCCAGGCCATTTGCTGAGATGCCAGGACCACAGTTTGAAGAGCGAGGGCCACAAGCAGGGCTGCAAGGATTACGGTCTGAGCTACGGGAGCCACTGGCGGAGCTACTTAGGACATCTGCTGGACTACCAGATCGTCCAACAGACTGACGAGGGTCACGAGCTGAACTACGACGACCACAAGCTCGGCTTGAGGGCCACAAGCAGGACCACGAGGACCTCGCCCTGAGCTACGGCGGCCACCAGGAGGCACCGAGCTTCAGCCTGATAGCGCTGGTCTGCAGCAGGTTGCCAGCGCGGGCCTGGCGCTCGCCCCTGGCGTGGCCGTGCGCCTCGTCGGCATCTAAGTGCGCCCGCTACCCAACGGGCGGGTAGGTATCCTCGGGCCGTACGATAGGCAGCCGGCCGCTGGGTATCCGACGCAGAGACGAAGGCCACAGGGGTCAAGACAATTTGCTTGGAACCCGTCGGTCTCATGACCAACCTGGCGCTCGGGATCACGTTTCGGCATGCAGCTCACAAGCACAACTTTCACGACCCGATGCTCCTCGACATGATGCTCCGGCAAATGTACGAGTTGGCAGCCGCCGAAAAAAGGCAGCCAGGCGTACGTAGCCGCCTACTTCGACCTGATCCTCGGCGTCGAAGTGGCGGTTGTCGACATAGCGTGCAGCCAGGTTTGGCCGTAACGCACAAGGCCACACCAGCCTGCCGGAAGCTGGACATGATGGTGAATTGCACCGTTATGGCCACACGCGAGACATGTTCATCGCCACATGCAATGTATGAAATACATCAACCTTTTTAAATGTTGCGCGCACCATCCGCATTTTGTGGGCGGCCCCGCCGCTCACTCATACGCCTTCCCTCCTCCGTTTTGTGCAGCGTATGGTAGTGCATGTTGTCGTTTTCGCCTCCCCCCGGCTCGGCGCGCCTCCGCCCCGACGGCCCGCGCGCGCTGCGGGCGCGTGGGGGCGGACGCGTTTCGGAACGTTGCGCAGCGGAACGGGGGAGAGGAGGACGAGGAGAGCGAGCAAAATGGCCAGAAGCCTCCTAAATGCCATTCGGTTTCTCTTCTGATTCCTCTTGAAAGTTTCTCGGGTCCTCTTGGGGCCTCTTGGCGGTCCCGGGGGCCTCTTGGAGCATCTTGGGCGATCTTTTGGGAGCCTCTTGGGGATCTCCTGGGCGCCTTTGGGGGCCTCCTTGGCGCCTTTCGGGGCACTCTTGGGAGCCTTGGGGGCCATCTTGGGGCCTGATTGGAGGAGATCGATCTATAATGGGTGGGCGCTCCTCTAGGGTCTCTCTCAGGAGACCAACATTGGCCCATTGGCGAACAACCTCAGGGAAATCAATGTTGTTTGCCTTTTTGCCGAGGCTTGTTTGTACACTCCAGTCTGTCGCGGGGCGCCCTGTCCAGGTCCAGGGGAAGGGGGTATTAGGGAATGGTCGAGCGACCCTACTAGATAGCAGGCCGTCTAGCTCACTCCCACCCGCCCTCCCAGCACTTAAGTAGAACCCGAGTGGCTACATATCGCTGTGGAGCGCCACACGCGCAAGTCACGCCACGTGTTCCATGTGCACCAGGCACGCTGCCTGGAGGCCCAAGTGGGCCCGGTGCGGCACATGGTCCAGGTCCAAGTGCACCAACTGTGCCACGTGTTCCAGCCGCGCCACGTGAAACATATGAGAGATGTGAGAAACCAGGACCCCGCGCATGTCCAAATTTGGAACCGCATTGTATTTTTGGATTTGTGATTTGACATGGATGTTTGGCTTGCGCGTGGCAAGCAATAGTCCAGTACCGTCATAAGCAGGCGTTAGTGTTGAATGCTGCGAGCGTCAGCGAGATACCAACCGCATCAACTGGATCGTACAGCTGGCTACACTGTAACTCCGAATGGTTTTACCGTACCCATTTGCACCACACCTCCGTGCGACCTCTGAACCATTTGCTTCGAGAACCCCCCGAGAGAAGTCGTGGACACGATGTGCTTCCCAAAGGGCGGTAAGCAAGGTCCGTTTGACTCGATCGATCCGCGTGGGTGAGAGTTTTTGTTATTCATTCTTTTGCCGATCGGCGCGGGCCCTCGCACCCCCCCTCTCCCACCCCCCTGGAGTGGATCTTGGCTGTTTTTGGCGCCAATTTCGAGCAGGTGGAACCTCCCCATAGGATGCACGGTTCCAAACAGTCGCACTAAGCAGAGGTCCAGAGCCAGGCCCCCCTTCCCCCACCTTCCAGCCCAATGTCGAAACGCCGAATAAAAAACGTTCACTAAATGTCGATTCTTGCCAGCCCCGTCCGATTCGATTCCGATGTGCCGATGATCCGCTCTGTGATCCCGATGTTTCCCATGGCGACGCTGTTCGGGTCGCTTGTGATGGGGTGTCACGCGAATGGGGGGTCTGCGCACGTATCCCAAACGGAGTAATCGGGAACGGAGGCCCTGCTCGCAATGTGTGCGACGTTGGGTATGCCCGCAGGATGTCTGACGGTGGCTCTCCCAAGCTCGAGGCGCATGTGCTAATGTCGCCAGAGAATTGCGGTCTGCGCACCGCACGAACGCCACCTGGTCAGACATTTGGATGCGCGAACGTGGCTGGCGGCCAAAAGTTGCAATGCATGAAAGTGTCCCAAAAGTACCCCTAAACTGCCCCAGTGGGTCAAAAAGTGGCTCGGAAGTGTCCTTAAAGGGGCCCAATGCTGCATTGCACGAAATGAGGAAACCGAAACAGTGCATCCACTTTTTGCTGCGCGCAGCGGCCGCGCGCGCGGCTCTCGTGCCGCCGCGTGACCCCTCGGGTTGGGGCCGGTCAGAAAAGAGCTCTCTGTGGCCCACATCGAACTCACCGCGGCGTTCACCACGCAGCGAAAGGCGGGCTGGACGGCGGCGCCGAGGATTTACAAAAAGGTGCAGTGCAACAAAGGGCTCCTTACGAGTGCAAAAAGGGTGCTTTCTCGACCCCCCATTTGCGTGACCCCCCATCACCGGCGACCCGAGCTGTGCGCCCTTTGGCGCGGCCGATCCAGTTCGAGTCAGACCCCGCGACGATGCAGGCCGCTCTGACGCACGTTTCCTCCTCCTCCTCCTCCTCCTCCTCCTCCTCCTCCTCCTCCTCCTCCTCCTCCTCCTCTCTCCTCTTTCCTCCTGTCGATGTTGCCCCATCCTGGTATGGGGGAACGAACAATGGCGTAAACATAACAATACGGAGGTCTGGTGGATTTCTCTGATCCGCGCTGGAAATCCGCGGTGGACACCCCTGGCGGCGGCTGCAGCGCCGCCCTTGGCGCGCTCCGCGCGCCAGGGAGGGGGGTCCAGTGCGGATCCAAGAAGTCCGCGCGGACCTCCGAGTTTTTGTGTTGATGTCATGCTTCGTTCCCCTGCGATTAGGGGCGCTGCTCCCCCCGCCTCTCTGACGGGCTGACTGGCCCTGGGAGGTCGAGCCCCCCGAGGGGGTCCTTTTTGTTGCGCGCCGCCACCAGGCACCATCACATCCACGAGGGCGCCGCCTGCAGGCCTCCGGGTGCACGAAAGGGATGACCATCGGTCGTTGAAAGTAGGTATTGTTTTGATTCCCAGATTGCAATATGCTTCGACCGCTGTCCTATTTCAATGATCGAGTGGCTTCACCTTTTCCGTCCTCTTTAGGGGGGCGGACGGAACCCAATCTATTTCAAACGCCTTCATACTTCATGTTTCTACCTACGTCTTCCGACCTGTGGGTATTGGATCAGATCCCGGCGTCGCATTTTTTCGAGTCGGGCGTTGTCGCGTCCTTTCTGGCCCTGGGACCATCAGAGATAACGATCCGGCTCGAGAAATGTAGCAGACAAATCGGGTCCGGGGCTCCAGTCGTGATTTGTTGCGATGTTGCATTTTTCTGGAAGGGGGGGATGTGGGAAGAAGCGCTGAATCGGGCATTCAGAGAACGCCTTTCCATGCAATTCGATAGAGGAGATCGGCATTGGCTCACTCAACACTGGCATTCGGGTCTACCAGTGCAGGCCCCATTCAGTTTCGTCCATCGACGTGTGTTTTGCAGGACATAGTCGCTTGTTGCTGGGTAGCTATCCCGCCTGGGCCCCCTGGGAATGCAACGCCGTGCGCACGTGGAGTGCCCCTGGAAGCTTTCAGGAAAGGGCGTTTTGCTAAAGGGTGCTCCGTCCATCCTCGCCTACGGGTTCGTCGGGCACGTCGCTCTACAGGAGGGATATTCAAACATAGCTTTACAAAAAAGGAGGGAGACGACATGTTAAAACGTTTGATATGTTTGGGTATTCTTCTGAAAAAGGATCTGCCCGACCTAAGCCTGCGGCTCCCTGCGGGCCGCCTCGTGCGCCGCTGCGGCCGCGCCTTCTGCCCCCCGGGCTTCCAGCTGCTCTTCGTCGGAAGCACTGCGGTGGCCAGAGGGGAGCGGCGGAAAGGGGTGTAAGTGTGTGTGTGTGCGCGTGTGTGTGGGCGTGTGTGTGAGAGTGTGTGTGTGTGTGTGTGCGTGTGTGTGTGTGTGTGCGTGTGTGTCTGTGTGTGTGTGTGCGTCGCTCCCTCCGCCGCAGCCGGTGACTTGCCTGAGCGGGTCCGGCTTCCTCTCTTCCCGTCGCGCCGGGGTCTTTTCCTCTCCTCACGTGCACCGCGACCCAATTCGCATCTAGCGCGCCCCACGGATGCCCGATCGCCGTAGCAGTACACCTCGCTCGATGTTTAAGAAAACGCAGTTTTGCAGCCTCAGTCTCGATTTTTTTGTCCTCGACACGCGGCTTAAGAAACCACCGTCGCTGGCAAGACCCTGGGGAAAATTCTTAAACTTGATGCTTTCCTGGGGCCGTGTGGGCGCCCACTTGGGCCCCACTTGGATTTGGCTGGGCCCTACTTGGGTTGGGCTCGGGCCCCACTTGGATTCGGCTCGGGCCCCACTTGGGCCCCACTTGGATTCGGCTGGGCCCCACTTGGATTTGGCTCGGGCCCCACTTGGGCCCCACATGGGCCCCACTTGGATTCGGCTGGGCCCCACTTGGATTTGGCTCGGGCCCCACTTGGATTCGGCTGGGCCCCCCTTGGATTTGGTTCGGGCCCCACTTGGGCCCTACTTGGGCCCCACGAGCCGGATTAAGGACCGAACGGAGATGCGCGCACCATATTTGTCAACGCAGCCTCCATGCATATCATATGCAGCACGTCGCGCAATCGTGCACGGTCGCATGTATTTATACACCGAGCCCCTGAGCCAGACCCTGGACATTTCTTAATGAGATTTAAGAAGCCAGCCGGCGCGAGACCATGAATTTCTGAACCCGTGATTTCTGAAACATTTCGCGAGGTTTAACCTCTTCCCAGCCGCCGACGCGAAAATGTGTGTATGTGTGTATGCGTGAGCTGACCCGGCCCGCTTTCTCCCGCTCGACTTGCCTTACGCCGCGCCGCCTCGCGCGCGGGGCCGCGATATCAAAAAAGTGATTGTGTGTGTATGTGCGTGTTGAGTGTGTGTTCGTGTGTGCGTTTGTGTGTGTTTGTTTCTGTACATTTGTGTGCGCGTGTGTGTGACATTTGCCGCATGCTGCTGGTTCCCGCCGCCGCCCGCCGCTAGGGCTCGCTCCCTGAGCGTTCCCGAGGGCACCCGAACAAAGCAGCTGCACAGAGCGGATTCTCAAGCCTCCCGTTGCTTTGGTAGGGTCGTGTCGTGCTGGCGCGGGCAGCATCGACCCCGCCCCGGACGTTCACGGTCGAACGCTGCCAGTGGCCCAGAATCGGCCGACATGGAGCGATTTCGAGATCGACAAGCCGCCGCTCGTTCAAGATTGAACGATCCATGTGGCGTCAGGAACCAACGCCAGGTGCCGTCGTCGTCGTCGTGGTCGACTCCGCCCCCTTCCAGGGGCAACGTTAGGGGGGGGCATAGGTTCAGGGTGGGACGCATCGACTTCCGATCGCCCATCCATCGCCGATAGGGGCCCGATAGCTCACACCGCCGAGGAGCGTCCGGTTTCGCCATCGGGGGCCCATCGCCGTCCTACCCGCGATGCATCGCCGATTCCAGGTCAATGTTTTCTCCCTCCCCCTGCGCCGCCCCCCCTGACGTTGCCCTTGTGCATCGAACCGAACCCTGGGAACTCTTGAATTCTTGAGTTCTGACTCCCCCCCTGTTTCTCTAGGCGGGGAACAGACTCGCCCCTCCTCCTCCTACTCCTCCTCCTCTTCCTGGTCCTCCTCCTCCCCTCCTCCTGCTTCTCCTCCTGTTTCTCCTGCTTTTCCTCCTGGTCCTCATCATGTTGCTCGTAGTCGTTATCGTAGTCGTCGTCAGCGTCGGCGTCGTCGTCGTCGTCGTCGTCGTCGTCGCGGCGGAGATTGGTTTCCCTCCATTGTATGGCGGGCTGGATAATGTTGAGGCGTTCTTTCTCCCATGGAATGATCCAATGTGGGCAGGCCTACAAGCAAGAGGATGTGTGAGCATCTTCCCATGAATATTGCAATAGGAATCAGTGGTTGCGGTTGTAGTCGTGCTCGTAATCGTGATTGTTGTCGTGTTTGTAATCGTAGTCGTGGTCGTGGTCGTAGTCGCAATCGCATTCGTAATCGCGCTCGTTGTCTTATTTGTCGTCGCGGCGGCGGAGATTCGTCTCCCTTTACTGTTGGGCGGGTTGGATCATGTTGGGGGTGTACCTCCCAGGGGATACTCAACTGCGGGCGACCCTAGACGCGAGAGGGCTTGTGAGCTTCTTCTCATAAGTACCGCAATACGATTCCGTGGTTGTGGTTGCAGTCATGCTCGTAGCTGTGGTTGTAGTCTTTGTTGTAATCACTATTTTAGTCGCGATTGCAATCGTAATCGTAGCCGTGGATGTAGTCGCAAAAAAACATTCGGAATCGTAGTCGTCGTCGTCGCGATGGACGTTATTTCCGTTTATAGTTGGGCGGGCTTGACCCTGTTGGGATAATTCATTGTGGGCGACCCTTCACGCGAGAGGGTGTGTGAGCATCTGCTCGTGAATATTGCAGTAGGAGTCCGTGGTTGTGGTTGTAGGCGTGCTCGTAGTCGTGCTTGCAATCGTGAATGTATTCGTGATTGCAGTCGCGATTGTAGTCGTTATCGTAGTCGCGGTTGTAGTCGCAACCGCATTCGTTATCGTAGTCGTCGTCGCCGCCGCCGTCGCCGTTGTTGCGGAGATTCGTTTCCTTCTATTGTTGGGCGGGCTGGATCATGCTGGGTTTTTCCCATAGGGAAGGATCCATTGTGGGCGACCCTACACGCGAGAGGACCGATGACATCTTCTCACGATTGTTGCAATAGGAATCAGTGGTTGTGTTTGTAATCGTGCTCGTAGCCGTGGTTGTTACCGTGATTGCTATCGTGACTATAGTCGCCATTGTAGTCGTAATCTTAGTCATGGTTGTAGTCGTAACCGTAGCCGTAATCATCGTCGTACCGCGGTCGTAATTTCGATCGTCGTCGTCGTTGTTGTGCGGCGGGTGCCCTGGATGAATAACGATGTCTCATTACTGGTGCGGCCCTGGTCCGTCAATAAGGGAGTCGAACACATCTTTCGTTACCGCTGCTGCGGGGTCTCTTTAAGACCTATAGAGCTTACGTCGGTTGGCCACACGTTGGGCGCTCCAGGAGGGGTCTCAAGTTGGAGGGACCGAGAAGCCGATGTCTTTTGCTCGGCGTCGTTGCCGCCGCTGCCGCCGCATTCGCCGTCGTGGACCCCGGAAGATTCGGACGCCCGCAAAGAATACGGACAACGTCGGTGCGTTGCCCAACAAACTCTGCTGTTTGGAATCGATTGCAGTCGCTGTTGGGCAGGCAGGCGTCTCTCTCAGATGGACAACGTCCGGGGGGGCACCGACAGCAAGGTTGACAGGACTCGATGCCAGTCTTAGTCCCCAGTCTTTCCGTTTCGATTTCGATCGTACCGAACAGAGGTCGTTGCACGACGCCTCGCCGCAGCTCTGGTGGGAGCTGCGGGCGCGCTCGAGCAGCGAGGCCGACGAGTTCCTCCGCGCCGGCGTCCGCGACGTCACGGTGCACGAGGTCGGCCACACGCTCGGCCTGCGGCACAACTTCCGCGGATCGTACGACAGGACTTTCTATCAGAGACGCGTATTTGGGGTCGGAGGATCGCGCCGCATCGCCGATGCATCGCCGATGCGGCTCGATGCGGAGCCCGACTTTCTTCGCGCGGGCGTCGCCGATGCATCGCCGGTGTCGCCGGTGCATCGCCGATGCGGCGCGATCCTCCGACCCCTTCTACTCCGACCCCATCTAGGAGGCCTCTAGTAATCCAGACCCCCTCGCGCCGTGAACACCCTGTCGCTCGCGTTCCGATGCGGCTCGGGCCACCGCGGACGGCAGATTTTCGCCTGCGCCGGGCCCCCTGCTGTTCCTGTCTGGGCGGCAACCGCGCCGCTCGGAGGGGGGAAGATGTATACACCGTGCCGTCTGGTTCGCCGGGAAGTTCGGCGAAGGAATCTGTAGGGGGCCACATGCGACCCCTACCCCTGCCCCCCACGACTTCTGAGGGGTGGGGTGGGGTCCGGCGCCGCCCCTGGCGCACTGCGTGCGCGATTGTCCGAAGATTCCGCGACGACTTTCTGCCAGCAGCCCGCAAGGACTTTCGAGCAGACGCAGGACCCTCGCTTCGTGGAGCTGCATGGCCTCACCTCTTCTGTGATGGACTACCTGCCCGTGAATATCGCTCCTGACAGGAGCTGGGAGCCAGCAGGGGGCCTTACTTTGCATCTTCGGGGGACCTTGCCTGTCCTGTAAATGGCAGTCTTTTCTCGTACTCCGACGTGGGCTCAACGCGGATTCGACGTGGATTGGACACGAATTCGGCTCGATTTTGGCATGGATTCGACACGGATTCGACGCGCTCGACACGGATTCGACACGGATTCGATGTGGATCGCGGCGCGACGGGACAGACAAGGTCCCCCGAAGATGCGCCCCAAGGGGTCTGAGGTGGCCCAGCATTGGTTCTGGCCAGCTCAAGAGGGGGGACGAGCGGGGCCCTTCGGTCGCCACGACTGGACCTCGGGCAGGTTCGACGCAGGGGAGGGGTTCTGTGAACCGTTTTTGCGCGAGTTTGCCGTCGTCCCCTTCGCTTGACTGATCTCCCGTGTGCTTATCAAATGATTCACGGAAGTTTTTAGTCGTCCTTGGGGCATTCGACGGATCGCCTAATACGCCTCTTTCACATGGCGTCGTTATTGGTCGCTAGTGTGCGCCACCTGAGCGCTATTTGGAGCCATCGAGCGCTATTGGACGCTATTCGCCGATATTTAGGCCCAATCCAAGTCGAGCGGGAGTTTCCGTGATGTTCTATCCGACCCCTTTGGCCGCTCCAAAGCAGGAGCGCCGATCTGCAATACTTCACCCCCGTCATCGGGGACTATGACAAGTGGGCGATCAAGTACGGCTATATGGAGGCGGGCGACAGGTGCTGCGCGCCTCCCGCGGCCGTGGCTGCCTGGGCGGCGCTGTACGAGTCTGCGAACTTCACCTTCGCCACCGACGAGGACGCGGACAGCTTCGACCCCTACACCAGGAGACGAGCCGGCTGGGGACCAGAGGTGGCCCAGCACCGGTGCCAGCCTCAGCAGGAAGGGCGGGCAGGTTCGAGGTGCTGGCTTCGGGAACACAATTCTGCTGCCGTTGGTCGCTTCCTGGGGGCCGCTTTCGGGCCTTGAGACCGTTCAAAGATGATTCGGGGCGAAAGACTTCACGAGAAGGACGCCGGGACGGGTCGGGGGTTAAGTCGGGCATGTCCCTCGACAGGAGGAGTATTCAAGTATCCTGGCGAAAAGCCCAGCCATATGCAGATGCGAGTACCGCAAAGCAGGGTTGGCGAATTTGAGGTAACTCTCTATGAGGCCACGAAAAGTGTGAGAGATGTACCGACATGGGTGCGGTGGACGCATGCGGACGCAATCGCTGGGGCCTTCGGTGGAGCTCACTGTGGGGCCACGAACCGTGAGAGGGTGTGCCGAAATCGGTGCGGTGGGCGCATGCGAACGCAGCGGCCTTCGGTGGAGCCACCTGTGGGACCCGGGACCACGTCGCGTGTGAGGGGTGTGCCGAATTTGGTGCGGTGGGCGCATGCGAACGCAGCCGCTGGGGCCTTCGGCGGTGCTCCCTATGAGGCCACGAAGCGTGTGCGGGTTGTGTGCCGAAATCGGTGCGGTGGGCGCATGCGAACGCAGCCACTGGGGCCTTCGGTGGAGCTCTGAGAGGTGTGCCGGAGTGGGTGCGGTGGGCGCATGCGAACGCAGCCATTGGGGCCTTCGGTGGAGTTCCCGAAGCGTGAGAGGGTTGTGCCGAAATTGTTGCGGTGGGCGCATGCGAACGCAGCCACTGGGCCCCCCTCGTGGGGCCACGAAGCGTGTGAGAGGTGTGCCGGAGTGGGTGCGGTGGGCGCATGTGAGCCATTGAGGCCTTCGGTGGAGCTCCCTATGGGGCCACGAAGCGCGTTCAGGTTGTGTGCCGAAATTGTTGCTGTGGGCGCATGCGAACGCAGCCACTGGGGCTTCGGTTGAGCTCCCTATGGGACCACGAAGCGTGTGAGGTGTGTGTCGAAATGGATGCGGTGGGCGCATGCGAACGCAGCCATTGGGGCCTTCGGTGGAGCTCCCCATGGGGCCACGAAACGTGTGAGGGGCGTGCCGAAATGGGTGCGGTGGGCGCGTGCGAACGCAGCCATGGGGCCTTCGGTGGAGCTCCCTATGGGGCCACGAAGCGTGGGAGGGGTGTGCCGAAATTTGTGCGGTGGGCGCATGCGACCGCAGCCATTGGGGCCCCCCTACGGGGCCACGAAGCGTGTGAGAGGTGTGCCGGAGTGGGTGCGGTGGGCGCAGGCGAACGCAGCCATTGGGGCTATCGGTTGAGCTCCCTATGGGGCCACGAAGCGTGTGAGGGGTGTGTACCGAAATTGGTGCGGTGGACGCATGCGAACGCAGCCACTGGGGCTTCGGTGAGCCTACCTATGGGACCACGAAGCGTGTGAGGGGTGTGCCGAAATGGATGCGGTGGGCGCATGCGAGCGCAGCCACTGGGGCCTTCGGTGGAGCTCCCCATGGGGCCACGAAACGTGTGACGGGCGTGCCGAAATGGGTGCGGTGGGCGCGTGCGAACGCAGCCATTTGAGCCTTCGGTGGAGCTCCCTATGACACCACGAAGCGTGAGAGGGGTGTGCCAGAATGGGTGCGGTGGGCGCATGCGAACGCAGCCATTGGGTCCTTTGGTGGAGCAGCCTATAGGGCCGCGAAACGTGTGAGGGGTGCGCTGGAATGGGTGCGGTGGGCGCCTGCGAACGCAGCAATTGGGGCCTTCGGTGGAGCAGCCTATGGGGCCAAGAAACGTGTGAAGGGTGTGATAGCAATCATGATGACGATGCTGATGACTATGACTATGACGATGATGATGATGGTGATGATGACGATGATGATGATGATGATGATGATGATTATGATGATGATGATGATGATGATGATGATGATGATGATGATGATGATGATGATGATGATGACGACATCGTTGATGCTGATGATGAAGATGACGATGACGATGAGGATGAAGATGAAGATGAAGATGAAGATAAAGATGAAGATGATGGTGGTGATGATGAGGATGCTGATGATGCTGCTGATGATGTTGATGATGTTGTTGATGATGATGCTGAGGGTAATGATGGGAATGATGGTAATGACGATGATGACGAAGATGACGACGACGACGACGACGACGACGACGACGACGACGACGACGACGACGACGACGACGACGACGACGACGGCGACGACGACGACGACGACGACGACGATGATGATGATGCTGCTGATGATGATGATGATGATGATGATGATGATGATCATGATGGAAGGAGGGAGGAGGAGGGGGAGGAGGAAGGAAGGAGGAAGGAGAACGCGGGGCGATGCGTGTTCAAAACGAGGACCCAAAACCACAGGATGGTTGGGAAAAATATGCAAACATAGTCTGGGGACGTTTTCTTGAAGTATTTCTGAATGCTTTTTAATTTTTGAGTACCTCCGTTAATTCTTCCAAACTCCGCTTGTATGAGGACATGCCCGACCTAAGCCTGGGGACCGATTTGATCGGATTTGGCGTCATCCACCCTCCTTTCAAACTTTCTATGGGCCCGACCGGTTCAGACCCCCCGGGCCGCCTCCAGCACCAGGAGATTCGACATGACGAAGACGCCGTCGAAGTGGCACGAGGGGCAGCTGTTCCTGGCAAACGCGGGCCTGCAGTCCTTTATGAGCCGGCTCAGTGTTTACCCGCAGGAGTCCCAGAAGCAGTTGCAGGAGCCCCGGGACCGCCAACCTCCCACGACCTTGGCAGGGCCCTTTCCTTGGCCCCGGATTCGGCTTGCGCACTAGTTGGCGTCGTACTACGGATATGTCCGAAGTGGTACAATCTAGTCCGCGAAGGGACCATCAGTCCCGATCTGATTGAAGCGATTTGGCCTCGCATTGAATGCATGGCCAATTGTTTGATTTGAATCCAAAAAGGCCCAGCCTACACCCCAATGGACACGCAAAGTAACTTTTGCAGGTCGTGTCGAAGAATCGTCCCAGAGACTTCCCTGGGGGTAGTTTTTCATCCCGGTTCCGGTTCTGACAGTCCCAGGGTCCGAAGCCGAGCCCCGCAGGCCAAAAAGCACGTCAAGCCGAAGGCGACGAAGACAAACAAACAAAAGCAAACAAACAAGCAAGCAAACATACAAACACACCAACACACACAATCAAAACGACTTGAAAAGTTGCATTATTTTCCAGGGCAGTGTAGTGCTGTTGCTTGGGGTCATACAATCAGCCCGCACAGTAAGGAGCAGCTTTACAGGGTTTCCCCTGCATGCTTCCCCTTCGGCCCATCCTCGGCCGCCTCTGCTGGCCGCGCCCCGCTCCGCCGTTGCTTCCCATTGCCCTTGCATCTTTGTCTTGCGCCCTGATTATACGGGTTGACTTCAGGAAGGAAAGAAACACACAGACACAATGGATCGTCGACTCCGAGGAAAAGATTGGAAAACATAGGAAACCGTGAGAAGTTGTGTCCCTGGGCCCTCTCATGACTGTACCTGAAATGCGGCGACCTCCAGGAGACGCTGCAGCGGCTCGTCCAGACGGGGACGATCGCCGCGCAGGGCCTCGTGAGCTTCGTCGGCGGCGTCACGGTGTCCCGAAGCCGCCCGCCCGCCGGGTGCCGCGGCGAGGACTGCGCCCAGCAGCAGGTGGAGCCGGACGACGACGAAGACGACGACGACGAGGACCACGACGACGACGAGGACGAAGACGACGGCGACGACGACGAAGACGACGGCGACGACGTCGGCGACGACGACGACGGCGGCGGCGACGACGACGTCGGCGGCGGCGACGACGGCGACGGCGACGACGACGACGTCGGCGGTGGCGACGACGACGACGGCGACGGCTGGACGATGACGACGTTGACGTCGACGGTGCAGCAGGTGCGTGCAGTCCCAGCGGCGGAGCTGAAGAGTGCCTTGGACCAGCTCTTCGGGTTCCTGAGGTCCAAGTCTTTCAAATGGGGGCCCATGCCGTACTGTGCTAGGACGAGGATGATTCCGTTCCAGAGCGTTCTGGAACGCTCTCGGAGCTCTCTGGAACGCTCTGAGAGGACCGCGGCGCCGAGACATCCTCCAGAGCCCCCGGATCTTAGACATTCTCGATGTATCCTCACCCGAATTGGTCCTCGTCTTGGCTTCGTCTTAAGATGGGGTCGGAGGATCCCGCCGCATGGCCAATGCATCGGCGATGCGACTCAGTGTGGGGCCAGATTTCCGCCACGCCGACGTCGCCGATGCATCGCCGATGCATCGCCGACGCATCGCCGATGCATCGGCGATGCATCGGCGATGCGGCGCGATCCTCCTACCCCATCTGCTCGGACCCCATTTGTGAGGCCTCTAGGACCTTCCCGGAGGTGGACGTGGCGGACCTTCTGAAGATTGCCTTGGTAGGCGATAGTCCTGGGCTTCGGGCAGATTGATGTTCAGAATCTATACGCGTTCCTCTTTTTCGACTTTCCTGGATCCCAGGATAATCAAACATGGATCTGGGATGAAACATTGCTTGCAAGTATGGGGTCGATACCATTGGTACCCGCAGTTTGAGAACCTTAATGTGTCGGAAGCCTGGTGCAGGGCGGCAGGAAGAGAAACGAAGAAGGAGGAGGAGGACGACGAGTCGGCGACAGCTTGCGGCTACCCGTGAGCGGGCGAGGGCAAGCTCCAGGGGATGCATTTGATTTTTGACAACAGCCGCCTCCTGATTTGCTCAGGATGCCCTTGCATCCATGTCTCCCTTTTACACCAACGGGTGCACGGTTGACTTGGACTCTGGATTGTCTTACGTCCATGTTCCCATGCTCTGCATCCCCATGACGTGCTTCGACCGCGACCGCCTCGCGTGTAGTCGCACGCTGGTGCCGAAGGACGGAGGGACAGGAGTCTCAGGCGAGAGCCTGGACGACGACCTCGGCTCCTTCCTGAGCTTCCAGCCGTGGGACCTCCGAGGCGTCATGCTCAAGGCCAAGGCCAGGATCCTGGGCGCGATGCTGCAGCCCAGCCGGCTCTCCCGCGTCAGGTTCGCCGAGGACTTCCTCTTGAGGAGGAGGAGGAGGAAGGAGGAAGGAGGAGGAGGAGAAGCAGGAGGAGGAGGAGAGGGAGGAGGAGGAGGGAGGAGGAGGAGGAGGAGGAGGAGGAGGAGGAGGAGGAGGAGGAGGAGAGGAGGAGAGGAGGAGGAGGAGGAGGAGGGGGAGCAGGAGGAAGGAGGAGGAGGAGGAGCAGGAGGAGGAGGAGGAGGAAGAGGAGGAGCAGGAGGAGGAGGGAGATGCTGGAGGATGAGGACGAAAACGTGCCCCCCCGCCTCCGTGCTGCGCCGTCCTCCCTCGGCCACGGCTCCTCCCGCACAGCCTCCTCGAGCGTTTCCGCGGGTGCGCGTGCTCTGGGCGGGAGAGCCGGCCTCCGGGGGGGGGGGGGCGTTGCGAGGGTCACCATTCACCAAACCACCCCAACCCGACCCGACGGCCTCAATTTGTCCTCCATTTCCAGTGGGGGGGGGTCGGGGAACATCGAGAAAACATATGGAACCCGTACGGTAGGTTCATGCGGCGTTGGCGCGCCGGCGACGCCGGCGAACACGTTCATACTTGAATCCTGCACGCGGAAGCACGTTGTTTGACCCGACGGAATTCAACCTTGAACGACCAGGGCCCGCGATCGATTCAAGGTGTAACGATCGACGCGGTGTCAAAAAATGTTGCGAACGCCGACGCCGCACGAACCCGAAACTCGGGTCAAATTCGGGTCTTGGGGTTGGGTTGGGGTGGTCTTGTAGGTGGTCAGAGAGGGCGCGAGGCCGAGCCTCGCGCGGCGCGAGGCGCGAAGCCCAACAAAAATGTCTTCGGCAGCTCGCGAGGGCCCTCCTTCGCAGTCACAACCCCCGGAGCTCTGGGCGCGGCGAGGAGTTTGGGCGTTGCGTAATGGAGGGGTCATAAATGGGGGGGTGTCGCGGGTGGTCCGAAAAGGTACCCAAACGGTACCTAAACGAGCCCCCTGGGGCTCCAGAGGGGCCCGAAAGGGGCACGAAAGGGGACCGTTTCTGACCCCCCCATTTATGACCCCCCCACTAAGCCACGCCCAAGGAGTCACAAGTCGGCGCAGGAGGGTTAAGTCGGGCGTGTCCTTCCACAGAAGGAATATTCAAAAATAGAGAAAAATTAGTCTGGAGACGATCGTCTGGGGACAATTATTTTGGATGATTTTCGGGTATTCTTTTAGTATGTTCTATTGTTCGTCCAGAATCCGCCTATAGGAGGACGTGCCGGGCCTAACAGTAGGGGGCTTTTCTGAGCTCCGGGACTGGCGCAAGCGGCCCGCCACGAAGTCAAAGGGCGGGGACTTGGGTCGACAGTGGCCGGGGCCCGCAGCGCATGCAAGATTCCGGCGTTGGCAGTCTGCGCATGACATCGGTCTTCTTCCGCACACATGCTGCAATGTGTGCAGCATCCTCTACGCAGTTGAAGAGGAGGAGAAGTAGGAACAGGGGGGGGGCAGTTTTATCTAGGATGATCGCGGGCCAATTCGAGGGTTGATGCCCCACTTTGATAGTCTCTCCAGTATTGCAGCGCCGGGTCACGCACCGCAGTGCCAGTTTCAGGTGTATGATTCGTCGCCCCATGTTTTCCGAGGAGGTAGTTGCGGCAGCTATTCTAGCAAGAATGTTCTCGAACTAGTAATGCAAGAATTGGTAAAGCAAGAATGTTACTCGAGCGATCAATCGGTACAACGAAAATATTACTCAAATTAATTACCCAGATAGTCTTACCAACTAGAAAGCAAAGGCCCCGCTTCAGGGACATATTCGGTACAGGTGTTCTTGGGCCGTGCTCTTCGTGTCTCGCACACGTGCTGGGCATGAATAGTGCGCACCATTCCGAACGCAAGTTCGGTTCCGAGCGGTTAGAGTTTGTGATAGTTTGCATGATCGTGCGAATGCTTACGTCTATGCTTGCTTGCATTCGTGTTTGCGTGATGATGTTTTGATTCATGTGCGTGATTCCTGCATGACTCTGATCGTGACGGCTCGCGAAATTGAGCTGTGCACCGGCATGCGTCTCCATCAGCGTGCACGGGCGCTCCACAACGGAGTGCCCGACCGCTTGGCCTTGCATCTCGATTGTACCGTTCCCGATTCATGCGCAGGGCTCCCTCTCGGAGGCTGCCGTCGAAATCACCCTTCTTGATCCAGACCGCCTCGCCGTCCTCGGCCCTCGCGCATGCAACGCGTGCGTGCGCACGTTTGCTTCTCTGTGCCGCACTAGCCTGTCCGCGCCAGTTCCTGCCTCGAGGGTGCGAAGGCCTCACGGTCAGGCCCGCCGACTCAAAAGGATGTCAGCACGTGCGGGAGTGGCGGGCCTCTTCTTCCTCCGCAGAGGAATGTGCGTGCAGGAGACAGGGCAACGGAAAGGTAACACGGGGAGCAATTGTTGTCTCACTACGCTCAATCTGGCAGCTCTCTGGGGGTCCCCCTGGACCGTCTTGCGGGCCATCTTGGGTTGAGCTGGGGGGCTTATGCGGATCGGGTCGGGCCGTCCTGTGGTATTCGGCAGCTTTCCAGAACGTACCGCGATGTTCCGAATGATCTAGTGGCCTTCGCCACATCTCGCAGGGCTCATTTCGACACCGATTCGATTCGATTCGATTCCGATGGCTTCCTATTTCGATTTGACTTGTAATTCCGACCTGGATTCCGATTTCTCAGGGAAGGCCTTAATTGGCCTGCCGATTTCTGCCGTTTCGACTCTTCTCCCGACATGGCTGCCGATTTCCGTCGATCCGATTCATTTCGATCGCCGATCCGACTCAAATTCGATCACCGTGCTCAGGTCGTGGATCACAGTCCTTTTGGAGGCCTCCTGGAATCTCCCGGGGAGCCCTTTCGGGGTCTTGGGGGCCCATCGGTAGCATCTTTGGGGCCGCCTGAGGCCTCCTGGAGGCTTCTCGGGAGCTCCTTGGGATCTCTTGGAGGCATCGAGGTGGTATTGGGTCCATTGGAGCGTATGTTTCCAGCGGTCTGTCGGTAGCTCTTTTTAGGCCCTCTTGGGCCCGTCTTGGGAGCCTCGGGGGCTGTCTTGGGACTATGTTTTGGGCTCCTTGACCGTCCTTGGGACGATGTTTGGGGCTCCTTGACCGTCCCGAATTGACGTTGAATCATCATCCCCCCGCATGTTGGTTGACAGATGTTTGCTTAATTGGTCCGGCCCCGAAAGCCTCGAGGGCTACTACCAGAAACACTTGCAAGGCAGCTCCAGCACGGGCCAATGGAACGTTCGCGTAAAGTGAAGGCTTGTGTTCCAAAGCACGCTACTTACATTGGCGGGGGGGCTCCCCGGGAGCCCCGTACAAACGAAACACACATACACGCAAAAGCAAATAGGTGTTCGGACCAGTATTAATTAGTAATTTATTTGTTCAGATGTTCGTACAACAAGTGCTGACATCGATGAACCTTTACTATCCACATGGTTGTATTGATTCTTAGCGTAGCCGCCCCAGACCACCCAGAAACGATCGGCAGGCGGGGTGCCCTGACCAAAGAAGGGTAGAGTAAGAGCATCCACTGGAACAGACAAGCGAGTCTGTCGTCAAACCCAAGCTCGGACTCAGTATGAACACATTCAGGAGAGAGATTGTTGAGCATACCTTCCAAGGCGGAGGAGTTGGATGTGGGAGGAGAGACGAGAAGGAAGAGGGAGGTGGGGGGAGCAGGATGAGGAGGAGGGCGAGATGGAGGAGGAGCAAGCGCAGACGGAGGCTAATGGATGAGGAAGGGGGCGACGACTACGACATCACCGAGGCCCAGGAGGAGGAAGAGGAGGAGGTGGATGAGGAGGAGGAGGAGAAGGAGGACGTCGACGTCGGCAGGAGTCAACCATGAATACATTGGCGGATCTGTCGCACTAAAAGTCTCTTGAGAGCTTTTTCCAGCCATCGTGGACCCCGATTGGAGAAACTGTGGGAGCGTTCGGCGCCCTCTTGGGTCCCTATTGAGGCCATTTTGGGGCTCCTGGGGTGAGGCAATTTTGGGACCGTCTTCGAGGGAATCGGTCAAAAGATGGGCGTTCTTAATTGCCCGTGCCTCATCAGAGACCGAAATATCGTTTCGTTGGACCCGTCTTGGGCGATCCTGGGGGTACCTTGATGCATCTGGAGCCCATCTGAAGAGAACAAACGAGACGCCACAAACCATTAAAGCACAACGTATTGCGTTGAATGAGATTGGTTTCTCGGGAGTCTCCTTGGGATCTCCGAGGCCATGTTGAGCCATCAGGGCCATCGGTAGCCATGTTTGCCCAACGGCCTCTCAAAGATGCCCTCGATGTGCCAGCACGTTCGGCCAAAAGCCCCTGGGCATTTCAAGGGTCTGCCTGTGAGCGGAGGGGGCGGCACCGACTAGCTTTAACCCTGTGATGTTCCAACCTACCTTAGCCTTGACGACCAGAAATAATTGTGAGCACCAAGAAAGTACCGAAGCTGGACGGTTTTCACGTGTCGGGCCCTGGAAACGATATCCGTTCGACACTATTTCTATCTTTTCCTGGGTGCTCGAAATTATGTTTGGGATGTGGTCCTTAAGTACGATGGGAGCAACATAACTCTAACCCTCCTGACTTCGACAACACGCCTCCTTTGGGCCCTGGGGCGGTGTTCAGCGCTCTTGGGGCCCCTCCGGAGCCTCTTAGGGCCTTTGGGGTGGGCCGTCTTTGAGCCATCTTGTTGACCCTGAAGCTCTCCGGGAGCGAACAGCCGAGATTGCAGCACATGCTGAACACCATAATGCAGCGTTCGAGTGGTTTTGTTTTTTTTTTCTTTGTGATGCTCCGTGGCCACGTGAATCTTGTCTCAGAGCGGTCTTGGGTTTCTTGGTGTCGTGTTGTAGGACATATTGAGCAACGTTGCGCCTGGTTCGAGGGCAACTTATTGTATCAGAAGCCATCATGTGTCCATATTTGCCCAACAGCCTCCCAAGGATGCCCCCGATACGCCAACAAGGTAAAACATTTGTGTTAATGATTCTGCCTTCGATCGAAAG